AATCGATAATTTGGCATATCAAACCTCATTAAATTTTGATGCTTCGATAATGTCACCGAAGGTATACACGGGGTGTAACTAATTATAATTTTTTCCTTTCAGAATCTCTGCCGAATGCAAGCGGTTTGGGGAAAACGTGAACTAGCAATGCAAGTTCATTATCATTTTCACGGAACGCGTCACCACACAAGTTCCTACACTTAACCAAGAGACCACGAGGCCATATCCGTCAGACCTATAAACAATAATCAACCTGGTCTGGGGGACCGTCACACCACGGAGGGGCCCGGTCTCTTCGTGAAGGTCGCATACTGGCAACGACATATGAGTAAACAGTAGTCGGTGACCTCGAAAGTTTGCTCACTTAGGGAAAATGCTATGAGAAAAAAGCTACCGAGGTGTGCATATGGACTGGACTTGCTCACCGCAAAATTGCAAATTCTCTAACCCTGAGGTTCTGGCGAACTTTAATTCCGTTCGCTTGTAGTGAGCAACACAATCGTCGCACAGATAAAAATTGATCCGTTGATTTCTCTCAAAAATGTAGGTGGGCGAAAGCAAATTTTGCGTGGCAGTATGGCAGTTCGCGCTACTTTCCAAATGGCTTAAATCTTTTTCAAACTACTCTTGTTTTACGGAGGTTGTTTGAGCCCACCTAACGGCACGCATTTAAATTTTGACTGCGTTGCTGACCGCTAGACGCATGCCCAAAATTTCTCACAAATTATGAAATGGATGATTTTTTATATAATATGGCCTTCCTTCTTGGTTGCTCTTGAAAATGTTTTGCAGGAGTACATAAGCGATGACCTCGTCGTCCGGGTGAACTCAAAGCAGAAGCCATTCGCGGTGTACTTACAAAAAAAGACCCCAATTATTCCAGTGGGCGTCCCGAAAGCGAGGGCTAGGACAAGGAATTCCCCTCAACTAGTAGGTCTGGTGGATTTAATACGACAGAAAACACACGCTGTAACGGTTCCTGACGAGGTTTGATATTAATCGGTATGACGAAGACTTGATTGTGACGTCCTACTATATGGGGCACAACCGCTCAATCAGGAAGTCCCTTTTTGGTAAGTTTTATTCAACCGACGCCTGACATGTGACGGATTAAGTAATGCTGTGCTCCACCGAAGTAAAAGATTTCGTACTCGCAGGCGAGCATCATGTTGTAGATGAATTGGCAAAGATGATAACCCATAAAGTTACCTACAGCTATGCCTTAAGGTGCCAACTTTCACTGATAAATGGGCCGACGCTTGCGTCTTTCTTAATTAGATGGGTGACAATCGGCTATTGCGAAGCTCCTTGGAAATTGCTGTGCACTGGTAGCGTGGTCTGAGGGTGGTCGTTTCGACATAACACCTTCTTCCCTCACGCAACGAATAGCTAAGTTCCGACGTTCCCCAGACGTCCAAACGTTGGTGATACACATGACAGGAACGTCTCGGATAGATTCATACGGAATATAACTAATTTATTGTGACTGTCGGCATGGATATCGAGCGACTGCTCATGTGTGCGGTCGTGAGAAGTGGTCATTTTGCGCATTTGTATATCCCTTTTCGCTCGTTTTAGTGCAATGAGCAGGCAATACTCCATTGGGATATTCATCACGGGTAAATTGACATCACGGATGCCGGCTGCTAAAACTGCGTTCTGCTACTTCTACGAAGGCAAGCAATTTGGAGGCAAGTAGGCTACATAACAATGCTGTTCCCTTTTTCAGACTACTTCTGACCGTAGTCTACTCATATCACACCGCATGGTATGCCTTGATATCACGGCCGATTGGGTAAATATGAACCAGATAACAAAAACATAGATTCACTATGATTTGAAAACCCTGCGAAGAACACACCCTGGTTTTGTTTCATATCTAGGTGCCCACTGGTTTTACAACATCACAAGTGGGCCATTCATGCGCAAAGCGTTGATATACTTTAGAAATTTGATGAATAACGCTATTGAGAATTCGTAATGTGTCGGAAAACGCAAGTGCGCCACGCCGACAGCTTAGAACATGCCTTTTTGATGGTTTCCGATACAGCAGGTGGCTCATGTGCGGCTCATTTTGCGGCGAAGAAATCGGGAGCGGAACAGCTATACATACAGTAGTTCTTGTTATTCCGCGGTGAAATCTTCACATATTCATTGATTAGGTAAGTTTCCTTATCATCAACCGTGGCTAGCCGGACGCAACATTCAGAGCGTGGTATTTGTCGGTTTATATTTTCCAAGCCACAGCCATTAACTGTGTAGGAAGCATGGGAAGCTTGAACAGTTGGTCGGCAATTCGACATTATTTGGGGACACACAAGGCAACAAGCTGCTGCTGCATTGACTTGGTAGGAGGGCTTGCCTGCTGCCATGATCCTGCAGGCTATACTAGTTGGAAGTGCATTCCACAAAGTTCAGTCATATTAGGAAAGCTAACTGATGACAACCATACCAAAAATAATAAATGGAAATTATTCTTATTGCATCATTTGGTATGTGTTCACCCCTGAAAGTAAATATTAATGGAATATGAACCATATGAAACATGCAATCCCGGATGCGTTGCTAGAAGTACCACTTACTTCAAACTGGTGCTCCGAATGAGCAGATTTGACGGCACATATCCCCATACTCTACGAGTCTTTGTTGAGGCGACATTTTGGGTGCAGTTTCAAAGACACCCGAGGGCATTGTATAGTAGAAATCAAGTATTGACAAGAAACTAAGGTTGATAAGAATGCCTTGTATAAACCTTTTTTTCATTTTCAAGTACTTGAGTCTGAAACTGTGTCACTGGCTCTTGACATCGCCCTTTCCACTAGGAACCAGGAACATGTTCATAGTTTGTGCAACGAAGTGTTTTAATGGATGGGATAGAAATGGGGTGATGCGATAATAAGAAAATGTCAATGAATAGAAGGCAGGATTGGGGGGACATTTGAGTTTACGCGGTTGAGTTCAGGGAGATTGGGCGGGAGAAAATTTCGAGCGTTTGTGCGATACACCGGCCACCAAATTTCTCCATGCGTTGCATTACAAAGTGATAGGAGGATACGTTCAAGTAGGGCTCTAGGCTACGACGGGTCTAGGAGGAGAGAGAACGCTTATCTCTACGGGAATCCTCGGCATCAGACGTTTTCCATGCCTTACACCAAGCTTCCCAAGAAGTCTACGCTCTACTCAGCACCCTCAAGCAGGCACAAGCGTCGGACGTCACGGCGTATAGGTCTAGTGGCTGTTTTCACGGAAGCCGTTCGCACGATTCTAACTGAGCTAGCCTCACATGAATTGACAGTGCCTAATGGCCACTTTTCTCTTTGTACCCCATCACTAACCACCAACACTACATCACCTTCTTTCAGGTTACGAGTCTTCAGTAACCACTTCTGTCTGACTTGTAAGGTGGGTAGGTATTCCTTCACCCACCTTTTCCAGAATACATCAGCTAGATAGTTCACACGTTTCCATTTTCTAGTGAACTTTTCAAAATAGCTGCAGTGGGAGGGTATCCCTGTATTCTCCTCTAATAGTAATAACATGTTCGGTGACAGGGCTAACTTGTCCCTGACATCCGACCTGGGCGCAACTATCGGTCGATTGTTCAGTAATCTCTCCACCTCCGACATAAAGGTTAGAAGAGTCTCATCAGGGATGACTTGTTCTGAGGCAGTGGCAGTGAGGACACGTCTCGCAGAACGTATCCTTCCTTCCCACATACCTCCACGATGGCTTGGCGAAGGCGGTTGAAAGTGCCATTGAATTTCTTGTTTCAACAAACGATCGTTGATTTGCTGTTGATCCCACGATTTCAAGTGTTCGCGCAGTTCGCCGATAGCTCCGACAAATTTCGAACCGTTATCAATTAACATTTCCTCAGGTTTTCCACGACGAGCAATGAAACGCATCAACGACATGATGAACAAATCAGTGGACATGGAATGTACTATTTCAATGTGTACGGCTCTAGTTTGGAGGCATGTAAAGAGACTACCGTACCTTTTCTCCATAGATCTGCCACGCTTGGTCAGCATGGGGCCGAAATAGTCGATACCGACATAGGAGAAACAACGCCATCCTCTCTTGACCCTCGCTAAGGGTAATGGAGCCATGAGTTGTTGCTCAGCAGTGGCCAAACGGCGACGACATGCTAAACACCTCCCCATTACCCGTTTCACCGTAGTATGGCCATGTATAGGCCAGAATGCTTGTCTTGTGCTGGCTAGAACTTCCAAAGTGCCACAATGGCCTTGAATTTTGTGATAGTGCATGATCACTGTATGCTGACTGGGTAGAATAGGCGGATGCTTCAATGCGGGGTAGTCGCAATATTTGAGCCGAACACCAACGCACAGTACGTCGTTCAGTAGGATTGGAGAGAGTTTGGATAATGATGATTTTGCGTGCACCACACCAGCTTCCTAATCTGAGCTATTTCCACCGCGTAGCACTCTGACTGCACGATACGCAATATTGAATACTTCGCTATCCTGAGCTCTTGAACTGTAAGATATCCTGTGGATACAGTAGTAGGTGATGACTTCAACCTTGCCTCAAGATACTTTAAAAACCGCAACCACCAAGCTACAGCCTTCGTAAGTTTAAACCAATCCGAGTAGCGATTGAACAACACGCCGATCTCAGCCTTTGAGCATATAGCATTAACACACTTAGATGCACGTTTATATTCTATGCCTTCGGGGACTCCCGATACAGTTGGCAGGGATATTGGTAGATCATTACTAGTGTGCAGCCAATCTGGCCCATCAAGCCACCGACCCAGGGAAGCCTTATCCCGAATACCTCGAGATGCCACATCTGCGGGATTATATGAAGATTTAGCGTGCCTCCACTGCTCTGTGCTGGAATACTCATGTATGATTGCCAAGCAATTTGCCAAAAACGTCGTGAATCTGGAAGATCGATCGTTAATGTAGTGAAAAACAATCTGGGAATCCGTCCAAAAATAACATTTGAATGAAATGTCCTTCAGACTCTTAGTAATGGTACGGAATATCTTTACCGCAAGCACGGTCGCTGTTAACTCCAGCCGAGGGATCGACACTGTCTTAAGAGAGGACACTCTCGACTTACTGAAAATCAATCGACAACATGGTCGATTAAGCCCCACACAGAACCTAACGTAAGTAGCAACCCCATATCCGACCTCTGAGGCATCGCTGAACAGGTGCAGCTCTGCTTCACCTCGATAGCTAATGTCCACCGAGAACATACACCTGTATTGTCTGATTTTAATGAGCGAGGTGACAAAGTCAACCCAATCTGTCCATTCTTTTGCACATGACTGGTCGATAGGAGTGTCCCATCCAAGGCCGGTTCGACAGGGCCTTTGTAGCAATTGCTTAGGTGGTAAGCAAAGCGGTGCCATGATACCAAGTGGGTCAAAAAAGGAACACACAGATGACAATATGCCGCGTCTCGTGTGCGGTCCTCTCGGTATATTATATTGGAAACAGAATTCGTCTCGTAAAGTATCCCATTGTATACCAAGGTTTGGGTGCATCACCGGGTTGCAACCCGACAACGTTACCAGTGACTCAGCAAGCTCGGCACTGAACAAGTGCTCTATAGCCACGGGTGCGTTAGTTGCCCATCTTCTGAGATGGAAGCCTGCTTTGAGAAGCATTTCAGTCAGCTGAGTGGATATCATTCTGGCGGCATCAATGGATGGGACGTAAAACAAACAGTCGCCTACGTAGAAATTATTACGAATCGCCTCGGAGACTATAAGAGCATATTCATTTCCAAATAGCTCCACAGTTTGCTGCAGAGCAAAGTTGGCGCAGAATGGCGAAGATTTCGCTCCAAACACGTGCGCGTTCATTTGGAACTCCACCGGCTCCAATGAAATATCGCTACCCGGCCACCACAGGAACGGAAGGGCGCCTCTATCGTTTTCCGGAACGCGAACTTGCATAAACATCTCTTCTATGTCAGCCGAAAGTGCTACGCGCTCCTTGCGGAAACGCAAGAGCACTGCCATCTAGTCGGCTGTCCAATCTGGACCTTGATAGAGGTAGTCATTTAGAGATTTCTTGTTGAATTGCGTTGCACAATCAAACCCCACCCTCAACATCCCAGGCTTCTTCGGATTGACGACAGAGTGATGGAGTAGATACCACCGAGGACGGAACTCGTGACTCAATTGATGTGCCGGCACTAGCGAAGCGTATCCCATCTTAAAGTTGCGTTCTATTACAGCGCTATACTGCTGGAAGTATGTCACATCCTTCAAGAAACGCCTTTTTTCAAACTCTGCAGTCGCATGGTTGCCATCCGCAGGTTGGAACCGGCACAATCGATATCGTCTTTCCATGGCAATGGGATAACGAACTGACTATCAATCCCACGAACCTTCGTTTGTACGAACTCCAGAACGC